ACTGTAACATTCTTTACATCTAATGTGACGTATTTTGAAATTCCAGACATTACTTACTTTTGTACTAAATAATTAGCATCTTTGTTTTAAAAGTATAAAATGACAGTGGGAGAATGTCTTATAACCCTAAACATTCCTTTCTTAGAAGCTAACTGGGGAACCAGCATCATTATCTTTGTTAATTTTTGAGAATCCTACATATAATGTAAGTAAATATACTCATTGTCCACTGAACACAACTTTTTCATTTGTTTGACTATTTGTGGGAGGGTCTTGCTATGGAGCCCAAGCTGGCCTTAAAATTGATATCCTCCTGCCTTTGTCTCCCAAGTGCTGGGGTTACAGGTCTGTACCACCACCATATGACTAGTATTATTTTCAATAAATACATTTTACAAGTATACAGCTAAAGGAAGGTAGAGGTCATGTTGATTAACAGTCAAGCTCACATATGATAATACCTGGGCCAACAGCTAGTTGTAATAAACTTTCTAAGCTTGTTTTAAAGCAAATATAATTTAAGGGAAAATAACTAACTCAAGAGAGACATCTAATCAAAGTAAAATGGCTGAAATGATATTGCCGATATAGTCATGTAACACTAAACATTCCTTTCTTAGAAGCTAACTTGGAAACCAGCATCATCATGTTTAATTTTAATATGTATTTATTAATATGAAAATCAAAAAAACAAACTTATTTTCAATGTGTAGAGGAGTGAGGAGACTAGAACTAAAACAGGCAATAAAAAGGTAAGGTAAGAGAAGGGGAGACACTGCAATGACAGCAGCTAAGGCAGTTAAAAGAAGGCTAGGGATTAACATGGGGGAAGACGCCTGCCTAGCACGCACAAGAACCTGGGCTTACGAGCTCAAATAAACCAAAACTAAAACTAAACAACCCCAACTCCCAAAAATATACTGTAATAAGGCCATACGATGGCAAGAAAAAAAGTCATGTTTCAAATGACGGCAAGATATGTTTTAATGACACTTTGAAAATACAAATTCTATTAATGATATATACTTACCATTTCATCTGCCAAAATGCCATTAAGTCCATGTTTATGCACCAATGCCAGCCAATTCAAACCAACTTTCTGATAAGGCTTGAGTGACAAACTGATAAAGAAACAACAAATATTACAGATCTATACTTTTATTTCCTACACTATTGCTCTGACATGTTTTGGTTATAATGAACACAAACTAAGCTATCAAGACTTAACCTTACCTTTTAATCTTACTCATATAAGCTAGGTAAATTTATGAAAGCAAATCCAAAACATACTACATAATAATGTTTGAAGATCTTCTTAGTATTTATCATGTATTTCTTTTGGCATTACAAATTAAACACTTCCATATTTGGTCATAATGTAATACAATCAAATTACTAAGTCCTGAAATCCATAAACGATCAGATTAACCATGATAATGTATCATGAAGTTTTTATTTATTCTAGAAAACTGGATTATAATGACTGGATTTTTTTTTTGTTGTTCTTTTTGAAAAAGTATTTCCCTGTAATCACAGCTGGCATGGATTCACTATGGAATGCTGTGATTAATAGGCATGTGCCACCAAGTCAGGGTACTGACTGAATTTTTAGCACATTAAATGACTTAAATCTTTTAGCACTAAATCCACAAATGGAATCTGTTCTTTTGCCAGACTGCTTTAGTACCTTTGTTATGTCTTTTTTAACAACCACCCCTAATGGCAGTGGCCTGTTAAATTCTGCAGCAAAGTATATGCACATAATATTTACATATGTAAATTTGTTACTCATACATGGACACCAGTGAGTAGAAAGTAACATACAAGTGTCAAAACCTTACTTAACTTGCAAGCACATAAATAAATTAATCCCCAGGAATGACTTAGGTTATACTAGAGAGTTATAATAGACGAAAGCAACATTTTCTCAATGTTTAAATGACTAAAACTAATAGCAATCATTTTACAGAAACAACTGCACAGAGAAGGAAATGTCATTGTTCACATATCACTTTATTAAACTTTTAAGTAGTCTACAATGTAGCTAGTACGATTTTACAGATGAAAAAATATGAGACTTGGTAATCTGCCTGAGGTTGGACAGCTGTAAAATGTCAAGGCTCAGATTTTAATTTGGGATGTCACACTCACTCTAAAGCTTCTCATACTCAGGAAGATAGCAATCACCATACATTAATGTGGAAGCCTATGACATTCCCCAGTTTTTACTTTGTTCTCTTAATTTTTCCTACACACATTCAGTCTGCACACAAAAAACAGATTAGCACATAAGCTGTGGCATATAAGTGGGTAAGGGACTAAACTCTGAAAACAAAACATTTTATTGAAAGGTGGTGGGGTTGAAAGAAATCCAACTTAAGAATCTATGTCTCAGCTGTGGAGGTTGCAATATATAAAAACATTTCTCATTACAAAATAAATATATGGGAAAGAAACATCAGTACTTGTAAGGTCATTACAGCAATTTTGCCCTATTTTTAAAACAACATCTTGTGCTCTCATAGCTAATGTAATCTCTGTACTATTACATACAATGATCCTACAGAAACACACAATGTACAGGCTCTATGAGACATTAAAAGACTTGGCCAAGGCCCAACAGAGCCAAATCCTGTCTGTAGTACTGTAGCTAGTATACAATCCAGACCTAATCCAAAGCCTACCTTTATTTATTTAAGTTTTTTAAATTTTTTAAAATTTTATGTGTACCAGTGTTTACCTGCATGTAAGTATGTGTAGCACATGTGTGCCTGGTAACCCTGGAGGCCAGAAGAAGGCATTGGATACCCTTGGAACTAGAGTTACAGACATTTGTAAACTGCCATGTGGGTGCTAGGAACTGAACCTGAGTCCGTAAGAGGAGCCAGTGCTCTTAACCACTGAGCCATTTCTCCAGCCCCAAAACCTACCTTTTAACCATAAAACAGCAAATATCAAAAGCTTTTCTTTCTCTGATTTATCCTATGGTCAACACCATATTCTGTATTATTTTTTAGTTCTTCCCATTGCTTTGGTCACCTATACACATAAGTTTAATATTTCATGAAAACATTAAAATCTTATAAAGGTGTATTACATCACTTATAAATGCATCTAAGGGCTAGTGTACCATTCCAACACACAGCCTTTCAAACAGAACTAAGGAATAATCTTCAATCAAAAGTTATAGAAATTCCCAGCTCTCAGAAGGCAGAGGCAGATGGATCTCTGTGAGTTCAAGGCCAGCCTGGTTCACATAGTGAGTTCCAGATCAACTGGGGTTATAGGGAGTCCCTGTCTCAAAAAGATAAAAAGACCAAAAATTTTCAAGTTTAAATTAGCAGTACAGGGGTCAGGTTAGTGGTAGACACTTGCCTGGCATGTGCACAAAAGTCAACTCCAAATGGATCAAAGTCCTCAACATGAAACTGGAAACCCTGAAACTATTAGAAGAAAATATTGGCAGTAACTTACAAGATACAGGTATAAGAAGCGATTTTCTAAATCGGACAGAAGTTACTCAGGAATTAAAGTCAGCAATCAACAGGTGGGACCTCATTAAACTAAAGAGCTTCGGTACAGCAAAAGAATAAGAAAAGTGAAGAGGAAACCCACAGAATGGGAAAAAATCTTCACCAGTGAAACATCTGACAAAGGTTTAACATAATATATAAAGAACTCAAAAAACAAAGAATTAAAGTGCCCGAAAACAAATCCTGAGTCCATCATTCTCAAGTCCAGCCTTGGCAGACAAAAGAAAAATGAGGAGGAATCCAATAGAGAGATGCTTTTGGAGGCTCTCATCAAGAAATTCCAATGCACTCTGATATGAACATTTGAAAATTGCCCTGCTCTGACCTATTTATGGTTCCCTGTCTAGAACTTGTAATGCTAACTACTCTTGCCTTTACTTCTCCTTCACATCTCCTAGACACCAGTCAAGGACTTTCTTTTCTCCCTACAGGTAAGAGTTATGCAATTTGGGAGTCTTTTAGATAGACCCACTGAAAAGGGTAACCCCAATTGCCTCACCCTGCGTCCCTGTTCAGCATGGAAGAAGCCAGAGCAGTCTGCGTCCCGATTCCCCATCAGCAATTTGGGTAACCTCTTCAGAGGATGGTGTGATAAGAGTAGGAGGTAGTAGGGGCTGGAGAGATGACTCAGCAATTAGGAACACTGGCTGTTCTTGCAGAAGACCAAGGTTCGAATCCCAGCACCCACATGGCAGCTAACAACTGTCCGTAACTCCAGTTTCAGGGGATCCGACAGCCTCTTCTGTCCTCCACGGGCACTGCATGACATGGGTGCACTCACGTACATGCAGGCAATACACACATACACATAAAAATAATAAAATATTAAAAAAAAAAAAAAAAAGAATAGGAGGTAGGACTTGGCTAGGCAGTTAGGGTAAAAAGACCCCAAAGAAAAGTAGCCAGTTAAAAGTCAAAATGCCCTTGGGCCTCATAGTAACATACTCTGTTCCAAAGGCCAAAGAGGCAAAGTATTTTGGAGCTCTTATCTACTCTCCAAAAGATTTTAAGGATATACCTCTTGGGGGGGGGTGTTAGAGTAGCAAAAAGCCCCATTTAAAAAAAAGGGGGGTACATGAAGTTGTCAGGAAAAAAATGATGATATGGGAGGAGTTGGAGGGGAGGGAGTGGGCATGGATTTGATCAAAACACCTTATATGCATGTATGAAATTCTCAATTAATTTTTTTAAAGTTTAAAAAAATTATATAAATTTTTATCACCAATACAAATTAAGAAAATCTGTTAAGATATTCATTATACATCAAATTTCTAAATGTGGTTAAATGAAAAGCATGCACTATGCAGAAATTTTCATTCAAAAAATACTGACTTAAAATCACAAAGCTATTTAGGATGCTAAATAGCTTATTAAATTTAAGTACTTGTTTTAAAAACACAGACTAGAGCTGGTGAGCTGGTTCAGTGGGTAAAAGTACTTTCTATAAAAGCCTGAAAACCCGAGTTCAATCACCAGAATCCAACAGTGGAAAAGAGAACCAACTATAAAAAGTTGTCTTCTGACCTCCACATGGGTATCATAGCACCCACATGCCTGAGCACACACAGTAATAATAATAATTACATACTAATATATACCTCTGTGTGTCTCGAAATTGCTGCCTGCCACAGATTTGTTCTCTAGAACACAAAAAGATCAATGAAAATGGTAAGGTTGTCAGATGTGGTGGCCCATGCCTTTAATCCCAGCACTTGGGAGGCAGGTGGATCTCTGTGAGTTTCAGGCCAGCCTGGTCTACATAGTGAGTTCTAGGCCAGCTAGGGCTACAAGGAGACCCTGTCTCAAAAAGCCCCCCGCCCCCCGAAAAAAAAAAAAAAAAAAAAGGAAAAGAAAAAGAAAAAGAAAAAAAAGAAAGAAAATGGTAAGGTTAACAAGACAATTTCAACTACATTTACTGGATAGGAATGTGGCTCCGTTGGTAGAAAACTTGTCTAGCATTCATGATTGCATGAGGTCTTGGGTAAAATCCCCAGTTTTATGGAAAATAAACTAACAAACTCCTTTCACAATGACAAATTATTGAAACAGACAGGCTCTATCTATTATTTAAATGTTATATAATCAAACCCACCTTCCTTTTTTTTTTCTCTATGTAAACCAGGGATTTACCTGTCTCTGCCTTCATAACACCCAGCCGCCCCCATTTATTCTGATACTACAATTTTCTAAACTTTAATGATTACATGTGAATCCCAGCCACTCATTTACTAGTAAAAATGCAGCGAGCTGTTCAGGCCTTCTGAATATTTATTTGCTCTCTTCTGAAGTGTGACAACCATATCTAAGCTGAAGATTTTCTGCCACTGAGGAAAATGCTACTTTAAGATTTCCTGAGATCATGAAAGTGAATGAGGTAGTTCATCATTTCAAAGTTACTTTTTCTGCTAGAGAAGAAAATAAATCCTTCTAATCATTGATTTCTTCAGTGTGAAAATGAAATAAGGTCTCTATCTTCTATGAGAGAAACTAGTTCCACAATTATTTTCAAAAGTGAGAAGAGACTGAAGAAATCCCAGAAATATACACAATGAGCTAAATTTGAGACTGAAATGCAGAACTCCAGAGCTGGAGAAACCTGTACGAAATGCTTCATAAAGATTGGATATGCCAACTAGCCCAAAGTGTCTATCTTCTAATGTGACAGGGAGGGCTGTTAAAAATACTACTACAAAATTAGTAACTCTAATAGAACTAATCAAATTAAATTATTTGCATCTTAATAATATGAGTTAGTCAAACCACACCTGAGGTCTTGATTTGCTTTTACACTGTTGTCAAAGGTCTCATGACTCTTGTTTAAAAAAGGATAGAAAACCTTTCTTACCAACTTTAGGATAAGACCTTCACAGACTCAGCCCAGAAAGATATGCAACATGATTAAATATTCTATATGCTGAAAATGTAAGAAATCTTTTCAGGTAAAATCCTTTAAAGTTGGCAAACTTTTTAATCAATTTCTAAAGCCTTAGAGATGGCTACAACTATATTAAGAAAAAAATAGAAAGTCAGACAAGATATCCAATGTATTTATTCTAATTGTGCTAATTAAGCTGGCATTGATGCCACTGTCCTTCACAATATTACATTTTACCTTTAACGTTTTGAAATAATGACTACAAAATTATAATGGTTTTAAGGTACATATCACAAATTTTATTTTTTGGCACAAAGATTTTATTTTTTTTAAAAGATGCAGGTTTTTTTTTTTTTTAATGTTTTTGCATGTATCTGATTGTGTGCGTACCTATGGTAGTCAGATCTTCTGCAGCTGGAATCACAGATAGTTGTGAGCTGCCTAGATGGCAACTGGGAACCTAACCCAGGTCCTCCCCAAGAGCAGCAAGTGCTCTTAACTGCTGGAGCCATCTCTCTAGCCCCAAGATTTTATTTATTTCTAACAAGGAGGTCTGTAATACTTAAACCTCCAAAAGACAAATTCACTCCTATTATAGTTCACATAAATTTGCAATGGAAAACTAAACACTTAGTATTAACAATACTTCAGAGTATACTTTGCCACAAAGGATTTGTTCTGCTGAGGGAAAAGAAGCAAGGGCTGGAGATGTACCATAACATCTGTGTTTCATGAGAAATACGTGGGGCGAGAGCTTCATCCTCAACACCACGAAAACAAAATAAAGACACAAGTTGGGCAGGTTATTTGGTGGGATACTGTTTACCTCTGTAGAGCAAAGGAATAGCTGTAGATGTTCCTGCACTAAGCAGCCACAAAGCCTGACAGGTATGCAATACAGAAATTGCTGATACAACTCTGACTTTGATCCAATGAGCGTTTAAAAAGCATCCATTAAGTATCTCATCAAAAATGAAAATGTCATAATGAAACCCATTAATATTTATAATTTAAATATTTCTTTAGTCTAACAGAAAGGATAGTATATTACCTGGTCATACTATATACAAGTAAGAGGACTTTGTGAATGTGGGTTTGAGAGTTTTTTAAGTGATGCAATAAAGCACTTGATTTTTTAAAACTCCAAATTATGATAAAGTGGACTCAACTCGGTAAGTCTTGTAGAGTGAAGAACTCCCCACATCCATGCTGGAGAACAAGAAGCAGCAGCTCCAACTACACTTAGGAGATGAATTTGCTGATATAGTTCTTTCTATGCAACAGAGAAAAGAGCTTCTTTTGTGGGAACTGCATCACGTTTCCCTACACCACCACATAGCACCCTAGAAGGGCACAGAAAAGATTGGAGCTTACTATTAAAGGCCAATAACCATATCTTTTTGTTGCTGTTGTTTTATACTATGATTTTTAACTATTAACCAATGATCAGCAAATATGCATTGATCATCAACTTAGAAAAATACCAGAAATAACTAAATCAACAACTAAGGTTATCATTTTGCCAAAATCTTGGTACTTAAAGAAAAACAAAACAAAACAAAACAAAAAAACTGATCAGGAAATATTTTCAACAGCAACCAAAAAAAAAAGCACAAATATTCCAAAACAAAGAAACAAAAAAAATCCATCTCTCTTCCCCTCATTCTTTCTCCTGGCTTTTTGTTTGTCTTTTTGAGACAGGGTCTCCCTGTAGCCCCAGCTGTCCTGGAACTCACTATGTAGACCAGGCTGGCCTCGAACTCACAAAGATCGGCCTGCCTCTGCCTCCCAAGTGCTGGGATTAAAGGTGTGAGCCACCAGGCCCGGCTCTCCTGGCTTTTTAAGACAAAGTCTCACTTTGTGGTACAATCTGGCCTGGAACTCACTATGCAGCCCCACACTGGCCTCAAAGGCACATGATGATCCTCAGACTGTTTCCACAGTTTTGCCACCATAAAAAAAAATAATAATAATCACAAAGGAGTATGATGGTGTACACCTATAAACTCAGCACTGAGGAGGTGAGTCAGGGGGACTGCCATGAGTTTGAGGCCTGCCTAGGCAACACAGTGAGGGCTGGGCCAGCTAAGGCTATATAGTAAGCCTGTCTGAAGAGGGGGGAAAAAAATAACAGTCAGGACTACACAGTGAGACCCTGTCTTAACCCCCCCCCCCCAAAAAAATCACATAAAGTAGTTTCACATATTTCCTTAAAAGGAAGTATTCTAAAGAGTTCTAGGTCTCCAAGCTACTTAAAACTAAACAAACTTTTAAAAAGAGGTTCAAAATGTAATTTTCATCAACACAATCCTCCAATACCATATAAAATGTTGGGAGTCTACAATTATAAAAAGCCATTTTAATATTCAATTTACTGATGAATGGACAATGCTTTTTTTTTTTTTAAAGAATTCTGGGCAAGGTATTTTATTGAGAGTGGTTTAGAAATTGATGTACAACTAACAAAATCTAATACAGCTGTTTGAACTTTTCCCTTCTGATGTGTCTCTACCATCAAATAGATTTAAAATTCTGGGCTTTTCAAAATATTTACAAAACACAAAAAGTAAAACACCCAGTTTACACACAAGGATAGCTAAAACCATTTTTATAATTTCTGTGATTATATAAGAAACTAATCTGTTAACAGTCAAGAAAGACACTGGCTATATAAGACCATATAACACATAACAAAATATCGTACGGAAGGGGGACAATCAAAGTAAAATTATTCATATACCACTTATGTGCCATTCAGAAAACTTGGGGAATTTTCTTCTAATACTAGTTGTTGTGTCTCATTTAATTTCCCTAGGCATAATGCAAACCTAAGTTCAGATATTTTACACAAGTGAGATAAAATACTGTCTGTGTACAATTAATATTACCTTTGGTTTAGAATGGAGGGTTGTTCTATGTTCCAGCCACCTCCATTTCCAGTGAGCATGGTAACTTGTTTGGTCAATTTATTTGAAATGTCTTCACATTTGTTCATTAGTCTGATAACTACATCCCTTTCTTGAATCAGCGTTTTACAGTTCCATATCAAATCTTCAGATAAGCCATTAGTTTTAGACATCTTTGTGAACTGTGATATAGAAAGAAAAATAATTTAATAGGTCAAATCTAGTCAACAGAATGCCATTTGTTTCTCGTTATTTATTTATTTATTCAAGGTTTTGTTTCACGGCTCAGGCTAGCCTCAAAATTAAGATCTTCTCTCCCTCTGCTGGGAGTGGTGGCACAGGCCATACTTGGTCTCAAAGGCAGGTGGATCTCAAACACACCAAAAAAAAAAAAAATTAAATTAAATTAAAATTAAAATTGGGATCCTCTCACCTCAGCCTCCCAACATGCTAGTGTACTAAAGTAACAGTTGTACACCACCATGCATGGCAGCTAAATTCTTTGAGGGGAGAAAAATTTGTAAAGCCTTTATCAATGAAGTACTAAATGAACTGACTTTTCATGTCCACATATGAATTCCCACGTGTTTCACTCTGCTGTTGCTCTGTCAAATTCATTATGCTGAAATAAAATGTACTCCCTTACCACAGAAAATGAACATCTCAAATGTATGACTTTGATGTTGGCAGCTGTTTTCTTATACTAGAAATATTAAGTAATTTTTAATATTTTTACCAACATTTTCTCCAAAATCTCATTCAGCCTTCTGTATTAGTAAAGATGATTGCAGCAAAATGCACTCTTGTCTCTATTTCTGTCACTTTATATGAATACTGAATATTAAGATTAAACTTCCTAAAACTATTTTCCCTACTTATTATCAAAGTACAACTCCATCTGTTTTAAGAACCACAATTATTTATCATTCGATATTTTATTTTTAAATGTAAACTACTACTTGGAAAGATGTTACATAGATCAAAATTTAATTTTAAGACAGGAAGCTAGCATAAAACCATCTGCTAGGATAAAATCATAATTCTGATTCATGTCATCATATATTTACCATATGCCTCCAAGTTAAACAAAAATCACATGAACAGCTATAATACCTGTGATTACAGTATTTTTAAATGCAATGAGAAGCCAAAGCAATAGGAATCCAACACTTCCATAATACTGCCGATCTTTTTATTTAAAAAACACAGTTTGGCCGGGTGTGGCGGCGGAAGCCTTTAATCCCAGCACTCAGGAGACAAAGGCAGGTGGATCTCTGGATTCAAGGCCAGGCTGGTCTACATGGCTAGTTCTAGGCCAGCTGGGACTACAGGGAGACCCTTGTCTCAAAAACACCAACCGTTTGTAACAATATAAAGTATATTTTCCATTTTTATCTTAGAAAAAGTGGTAAGAGAAACATTTTCTAATCTACTCCAAAGCCTTATTATTAATGTGCTGCAAGATTTTACTTTTATTTTTTGAGACAGGGTCTGACTCAGTAAACTAGGCTGGCCTCTAGCTCAGAGATCCACCTGCCCCTGCCTTCTAAGTGCTGGGATTAAAAGACATGTGCCCTGCACATCAGGCAGTTCTGCAGGATTTTAAATAAAGCTGACAACTTAGTTCTTCCAAAAATGGCATTGTGAAATTCTAAGATACTGTACACTACTTCCCATTTTCACAAGGGCAACATTCATAATCATCAGGTAACCCCACACCCTCTCTGTACTTTCATAAACAGGTGGTATAGAGTTAT